CCGCGGACGCGCGGGGTCCGAAAGTTTCTCTGCCCGCCTGGCGTCGCGAGCCCGAGCCGCGGGACCGACCGGCCCACCGCGCTGGAAAAGAGAGACAGGAGCACGCGGCAAAACACACTGGAGAAAAATCTCCAGGCACGGCAGGCGCAGGGGGGCAGGTAAGGTGCGGTGGCCGAGGGTCTGGCGCGCCCCTGTGCAGGGTCTGCTGCCGCGGCGGGGCGCCCGGGCTGCGGAGAAAGCTGCGCTGCCCGCGCGTGCCGGTCCGTCCGTGCGTCCGCGAGTCCCCCGGGCTTTGTCTGTCTGTGCCCGTGTCTGTCGAGGTGTCTTTGACTCTGCACGTCACTGTCAGGAGCTTCAGCTGTGCTAGGGTGGGTGCTGCCGATCTGTCCCCACTTCGGAGGAAATGATGGTGCGTCTGTCCTTCTGTCTTTGTCTCCGTCTCCTGCAGACCCGGCCCCAATCTGACCTAGGCAGACATATGGGTTAGGTGACACTGGTGTCGGAGGTGAGGACGTGAGGTCGCAGGGGCCGACGCCCCAGAGCGAGGGTGTGACAGTTGGGGCCGGGCCCTGAAGTTTACCGGCTGGAACTTTAGAGATGGGCTGTGTCCGCATCGGTGGGAAGGACACGGATGTACCTAAAGGTTTGCAATGTTTCTCTGAAGGAGTAAGTCACCCGGGCTGAGATGGATAGAGAGGAGGGAGATAAACCGGGGTGTCTAAGTGGCCCCCTGGAGCTACAGATCACCAGGGTCAGTCCTGGGCGTGCACTTCAAGAGTCCAGGCAAAGCACCGCACACATGCACGCGCGCACCGTCACACCACATTCCCTTCTCTCGCTCAGCCGCCCGCCACAGGCAGCCAGGTCCCCACTCCTTTCCCAGCCACCCCTTGCCACACGCCTAACTAGCTGGACAGCCTGCGGGGCACACAGCTCAGCAGCAACAGGGACCAAGCACCAAGGGCCAGATGATGTTTCTTTCTCCCGCTCCAATTGGAAAGGACTGAACTGTGGAGCGAATGAGTGTTCTGCTTGCCCATGAGTGTGTCAGGCCCAGGAAAGTGCTCTGAGAACTGGATAGCTTCAGAGTCCCCAATTTCCCAGGAACGAGGAGGAGTGCTTGGGGATCGCAGCACCCAAGTGTTACTGGGCTCTTGTTCTTCCATTCCATCCACACGCTACGGCTGCCATCAGCCTCTCTGGTTCTGGTGGGTGCTGGCAAACTAGTGAAGGGCACTGGTTCTGGACAGTGCTTGTCAGGAGCTGCTCTAGATGATAGTCCCACACTCTGCTGTAAGTGCAGCCCAACCATGATTGTGGGAGCCCAGGAGCCTGGCCACTGATAGACAGCTGTCTGACAGGCAATTCTTCCTGCACCAAGACCTTTGAGAAGAGTCTGCAGCTAGGGGCCAGAGGGGCTTTAACCTGAGCTTCCTCTAAGTTCAAAAACAATTGTCTGTGGGCGCGCTGGGGGAAAATGGAAGGTGTTGGAAGGGTGTGTATGAGAGATAGTGGGAAGGGTGTTTGTGTTCGAGGGTGGAGCAGAGCAGAGTCTGTGGGCAGGAGTCTGTGGGCAGGAGTCTGTGGTGTGGCGTCACACCTTGTATTTATCCAGCACTTTTCTTCTGAGGCACTTTCTGCACATCATAGACGTTATCTCATTTGTTATCTCCTTCATCCTCACAACATAACTACCAGATTGGCATGAGAGAACAGTTTACTCTCTGTGAAGAAACTGAGGCACAGAAGGGAAGGGCGTTCCCTGAGGTCCCACAGCCACGGGGAGCAAAGTCAGGCTTAGCAACTGGGGGTCCGAGTGCGAGGTCTCAGCCAAGTAGATGTGAGTGTGGAGTCCTTACTCTGCTTGGAGTGGGAAGAAAACTGGTGGAGAAAGAAGGAAGGGCGTCTCTCCAGGGAGTGTGCAAACAAGATGAGGGACAGGGCATCTGCTGGTGCTTGAGATGGTTGTTATTTAACATTTGCAGCAGCCACCCTGTGCTTCACGAGGTAAACCTGTTTGAATAGTTCAGCTTGTGCATTTGTGTGTCTGCAGGAGGTGCCCTGTCTGTATGTGCGTGCCTCAGTGGATCCATGTGGGGGGCTGCCATAGGAGTATGGGGTGTGCTGGGGAGAGCCAATGCTTGGGGAGTGTGAGAGGGAAGATTTTCCATTCAGTTTTGAGGAGCCATGGGTCTGCACGTATGCGCCAAGAGTAGATGGGCTCCAGCCACATAAAAATGCTTTTCTGATCCTAAACAGTTATTTATATGTATTTGCACTTATTCAACATTCATTTAATAAATATTCATTGAGTGCCTACAAAATGCAAGGCTCTGGGCTAAGCAATGAGGTTATGGAAATTAATAAGTTAATGATGGAGAGCTATGGTTAAGCAGCTTATAGACTAGTGTAATGGATAACACCGTAACAACATCTAATACCATCCGCTAAGTACACTGTGCGCCCGGTACTTTTTATTCCTTATCTTATTTAATTTTTCACTGCAGCCCTGTAAGGTGTTATGATTATCAGACAAGGAGAGTTAAATAACTGAGCTAAGCTAGAAGACAGAAAAGCGGGGATAAGAACTCAGCTCAGTAAAACTCCAGACCCTGGCTCTTTCCACTATCTTTTGCTGTCCTGAACATAGAAACACACTGTGTCCTCTGCTTAGAATATTCCTACCTTGTCCTTTGACCCCCACCTCACTGGCTCCCACTTGCTCTTTTGGTTTTAACCTTTAGTATCAATTCCTGCAAGAAAGCTTCTCCTATCCTTTCCTTAAATCTGCGTCAGGTACCTACCTGCCTCTGAGTTCCTGCCATCATCAGGGCATTTACCCACTGGGTCCTGATGTGCCTCAAAGTTCCCAGAAGCAGAGGTTGCATCGTGAATTCCCACTTCAGAATACAGTATTTGGCTACTATAAGTAGGTCCTTAGTGAATGCTTGTTTAATAAAGTAATGGGAAAGAGGAGAGCTGTCAGAGACACTTGGCAGGGAACATTGTTCCCAACAGTGGATTTCTGCAGGGGCATGCTTTGCTGGTGTGGCCTCTGACTTTCCTTCCTCTATTACTGGGCCAGCTCCTTTAGGGCCTCTGCCTAGATGGGGCTGCTCTGTCCCAGGCCCTGCCTCCAACACTTGTGGAGCCTAAAGGGACCCTCACCCCCACCCGCTCTATCTCCAGGTCAATCAGCCCACAAGTACAGGTTATTGAACGGCAAGGTCCGAGGCCGTGTCTAGACCTGGGGTATTAAAATCATGCACTTGAACCCCAGGGGGTGGATGGTTCTAGGGAGTGATAAGGTGTTTCTGGGCTTTTGCCAACAAAGAGTATCCAACTGCTGGGGAATCTTCAGGTGATTTACATTTTTGAGTTTGCTTTTGAATAGATCTTTATGTTGCTACAGTTTGAAAACTGAAATGGAAACTCAGCTACAGTTGGGAGTGTGAATTGCTACCATTTTGGGGGAGCTAATCTGGCTGCTATTTCTCCAAGGTCACAGGGCCTGTGGGGTGACTCTTTTCCCATGCCCTTTGCATCACCCCTTTTTTTCTCATATTGGGGATGTCACTTATGTCCTCAGGGGTCCATGATAATTTTAGTTTTCCTGTCAAAGATCATTACTAAAGTTTGAAAAATTCTGCATTTCACTATTTCTGAAAGGTCTTATCCATGTGAGATGCCAGGGAAATGGTGGGGGTGCAGTAAAAAGGCTAGATAATGCTCTGAAACTAAAATTTGTAATAAGAATTGGAAGGAGGAAGCACACCCCTGAGTCAATGGCAAGGGAATTGAAAATTGGATTGTATGAACTTGCATACAGCAGCTGCCCAGCAGGAGGGAGGTGACCTAGAAGACACCGGGGAGGAGGCAGTCCAGAAGTGACCCTGAACTTGAACCTAAGGTGGGTGTTAAAGAGTAGATGGAGCAGCAGCCAAGGTCATAGCTCCAAGTTGCACACTGAGAGCAGAGGAGCTGTGCTTTGTCTTCCAAGGAGAACCCTACTGGGAGCCTGTCACCTTCTGTCCAGCTCGGCTAGCTGCCCGGGCCAGACAGCACTGGAGAATGAAACATGGGAGGTAACACACCTTTCACTGCTGCCTCCACCAGCAGACTGGCCTGTAGATCTCCTCCTCCTCGGGCTTGGAGAGGGGAGTGGGGACATGGTGGCTGGGGTCGATGGGGTAGTGGGGCTTCATTTGGGAAAGGCACCTCTGTATTGCTGCAATTTCCATCTGTGTCTCACACTCTTCCTTCTTGACTTCCTCCATCCCTAGGCTTTCTGTAATCATGATTTTAATAGCCCTTGTTATTTGTATAGGACTTTACGCTTTAAAAAGAAACTTCTTAATACCTCAAAACAACTCTGGGAGAAGATTGCTCCCACCATTTGGCAGACAAGGAAACTGAGCAAGCCTGTCAGAGGGGAAGGAGTTTACCCAGGATTTTAAGAGGAATGCTGAGATTTGAGCCCAGCTGTCCTGACTCCCTTTCTGAGGCTACAACTACAAGAATCGGGCTTCATTAATTAAATGGATTTAGGTTGACTGAACTGTTGACAAGTGTTTAATACGCAGAAAAAAAAAGAGATTTTTAAAATTATAAGAACTCGGTTACTTTCTTAATTATTATAATTCAAGCACAATGAAGACCTTACAATTATCTTCATTTTTTCTGTGCCCACTCTACTGTCCCCCCATACTTATCTCTAAACACTTGTTATGCATATATGTTAAGCTCAATAAACAATAAACTAGGAAGTATCTGGTATACTGGAATGTCTACTTGAGACTTGCTTAAAGGAATGAAATTCAGCATATGTCAGTTCTTTACAACTAGTCAATTCATAAGGTTTAGTCTACTCCACATTGAAATTAGAGTGAATTTTGCCTCCACAGAATCTGAATTAATGCCATTACACTAGAATACTAAACTTTATTTCATAATTTATTTCAGTGTTTTCACCTTGTCCATAAGCAAGTAAGCAGTCTCTTCACTGGTGAGGTAAAGCAATATATGGGGGCTGGATGGTTAGTTCAGTTGGTTAGAGCACAGTGTTGGAACACCAAGGTCAAGGGTTTGGAATCCCTTTACTGGCTAGCTGCCCCCCCCCCACCACCACCAAAAAAAAGCAATATATGAAAACCAGGGG